AGGGCTTAGGGGGTTTATAGGGTTTAGGGTGTATAGGGTTTAGGGTTTACAGGGTTTAGGGTTTATAGGGTTTATAGGGTTTAGGGTTTGTAGGGTTTAGGGTTTATAGGGTTTAGGGCTTATGGGGTTTAGGGTTCAGGGTTTGTGGCTTATGGGGTTTAGGGTTCAGGGTTTAGGGCTTAGGGCTTCGGGTTTATAGGCTTTGGGGCTCAGGGTTAGGGCTTCTGGCTTCAGGGTTGCAGGCTTTTAGAGGAGTTTGAGGGCTTCCCGGTTTAGAGTTTTGGCGGTTGGAGTTTTTGCCGTGAATGAGGCTTACTTAGGGTTTCAATCTTGTACGTACTGCTTTGGAGTTTGATCGGCTGAGCGTTTAGAGTTTAGGGTTTTTGGGGTCCGTCGGGGTTCAACCCCTATGGGTCGGGGGTTTTCGGGTTCAGGGCGTTGAACCTGCCCCAGAAGCTCACTTACCGGTCTTTGGCAAGGTATGCTTTATGACTCCTATATTAATATAAACCCTTCTTCATGGTTGCCTGGGGCGACAGGATCAACACGAAGCCCTGAGACCCGTCAGGAGTGGATTCTAGCGCTCCGGCAGTGCAACGCGGACATGCTTGAGGCTGCCGGGTCTTGGGCAAACCTACTCGCACCTTGAGGATCTAATGGTTCATCGTTGCCTCATTGTAATTTGAGCTGTTTGGAGCCTTACATGTAGGGACCTACTTAGGCTTAAGATCAAGCTCTCAGTCTTCAGTATGTATCTCCTGAGGCCGGCCATTTCTCTGTCAGGTTTGTATATGGCCGTATGTGCTCTTTGCTGTGCTCCAAGTAATGAGGCCATGCCATGCCCAACCAACGAATGCAGGAGGGCATCGACATCCTGTTTCTCATCGAACAGTGTGAGTCGGTGAGCGCCACCCGTGGAAACAGGCCGTATCCGGCTAGGCGTAGGTAGCAAACTTGTTGCCCTGATTCACAAGCCCAAAGCCTAGTACGACATAGTAAATACAAGTCTTAGACGAATCTTTCACTTTTCCCGCTCCCTGCAGACACTAAACCCTATCAACTCTCACAGGTTGAAGTACAACCCTCAAAACCCAATGGTAAGACTTCCGCCGAAGCCACCTATGTCCCGGATCCTTCTTGCCAGGAGGCATCTTACGTGCAAGTTCCTGGGACTCCTCTAGACTCTAGCCTAAACATCCCTAAGCCCCAAGCGCTAAACCCCTAAACCCCTAAATCCAAGCCCTCCGCGACTTTAGCTGAGATGCGCCTGCGGAAAAAGGTGCTTAAGCTCAAATCGAAACCTGCCGATCGCCCGAAGATCAGGGTTTTAGGTTCGATTTTCTGATGTTTTAGTAAGGGGTTTAGGGCTTAAGCTTTACAGTTTGTTAAAAATACTCATAAAGCAAGGAATATACTGTTAAAGGATAATGACTATCATTGCAGTCTTATAACCGTTTAGCCATGCGACGGTACCAATTTAGACTTATAGTCGCACTCGTAGCATACCTACAATCTCCATGTTAGTTATTTTCGGGTTGCATTATAGGATCCTAAAAGGCTAAAACAAGAAACTAAAAGGAACTCCTCTGGAGAGTGTAGGCCGGAGTCTTTTGCTTGAGCTGGTGTCATCTTGGCAGGGTAGAGGCTCATTGTTGTGCTGGGGGCTACTATAGGGGCCTGAATAATTAGAATACGGTTTTGGGGCCATCATACTATAATTGCAATAAGGCACCCCCCCCAAAAAAGTATAGGTATCTATTCAGACCCCTATATTAGCTCTTCAAGTTCCGGCATGAGTTGGATTTCAGCGGCTAAGCCGAACGCGCTTGAGTCGCCAGCTGAAGTTAGGGTAAGTTTGGGGGTCCCATAAGGGTCCGATGTACCTAGGACCTATGTAGTGGAATGTTGCAGGGTTTCTATATCTGTATATTAGGGTAGAATTTAGGGAACTGTTCTCCATAAGAGTGCATGGGACCCTTTGGGGGTTCACGGAGTAGATGGAGGGTCTAGGTTATCGTCGAGAGGCCCTATGAGCTGGATTGCTCACCATCCTTAGTGGGTTAGGGCTTACGGTTTAGGGTTTAGGGTTTAGGGTTTAGGGTTAGGGTTTAGGGTTTAGGGGTAAAGTCGGGATGCTCACCACAATTAGTGACACCAAGGGTCCATGTACCCATCTCTCATTTCAGCATTAACGTAGCCCCTATGTAGGTACGGTAGGGCCCTAAAATGGGCATACGGACAATCAGGGTGAAGATTAGGGTTTAGGGTTTAGGGTTTTGGGTTTTGGGTTTTGGGTTTAGGGTTTAGGGTTTAGGGTGATTGTTTTTTTTTCTGTGCATCGGCGCTTTCTCGCACAAAGCCAGGGGCCGCTGCAGCTTTCGCCTAGGCTTTAGGCCAGGGAGCCCCGCCTAGAGGGTCATAGGCTGCCCCCCTTTTTTTAGGGTACCTATATTTTTCAAGAGAACAGGTCCTAACCATAAACCTAGATCCCCCACAATAGCGGGTCGGGTGTGATCCTCTATGGAGACTCGAAATCGCGGCACTAGTGAAAGCAGAAGCCGCAAGTCCTTACTTGGAGGCCCAGGGGACTTAGTAAGTAGGTTATAAGTAGAGTTATAAGTACCCTAAAAGAAAATACCCCAAGTATAACCCTACTTATAACCGACTTACTAAGTCCTCTGGGCCTCTAAGTACGGTATCCCACAGCCTACTGCCCGAACCCCGACTCCTCGACGTCAAAGCCCTAAGCTCTAAAACCCTAAACCCTAAACCCTAAACCCCTAAACCCTAAACCCTAAACCCTAGACCCCTAAACCCTAAACCCTAAACCCTAAACCCTAAACCCTGAACCCCGACTCCTCCTCGAGGTCAAAGCCCTAAGCTCTAAAAGCCCTTCCGAGGTCTCACTGTTCCTGTGTCGGGCCACAGCACGATGGGCAGCCGCCTCAATAGTATGCATGAGGCCTTCGGTTAGGGGTTTATAGGAGTTCGGGCTTTAGGGTTTAGGGCTGAGTTATTTAGGAGTTCGGGCTTGAGGGTTGAGGGCTGAGTTATTTAGGAGTTCGGGCTTTAGGGTTTAGGGCTGAGTTATTTAGGGGTAGGGTTTAGGCTTTAGGGCTGAGCTATTTAGGGGTTAGGGTTTAGGGATTCAGCGAAGCAGCACAGAGGATGCTCCGGGTTAGTACGGCGCACGGTAGCAGCTAGGAGCACCTCCGGCTGGTGCAAATCCCGAGCACATGGTATTATATAGTCCATGGATTTTAGGTAGAACCCTGCCGGAAGGAGTGATGATAATGATGATGTGTGCATATATATATATATATTTCTGTCTTTCTCTCTCTCTCTCTCTCTCTCGGTGCCGACTATAACTAAGTCAACAAGTTCCATCAAAATCTACATCTATTCCTTCCCATGTGTATATATATATACATACATACATACATATGTATAGGAAAAGCCTACATACATACACATACATACGTACATACCTAACTACAAATATGTACATCTATATCTAAACACAGCAAACGATCAAATAACTGACCTGTACAAATACTTATGTTCATGCCTCTTTAGACACTGTGCAGAAACAGGCCAGAAGAAAGCATGAAGCCATCCGGCTCTTAGGTGGCGCTCGTCGATTGACGAACTATGACCCATGCCACATCAAGGGCCCCTGCTACAAGGGCGTGGTTTGGTTTCCTGTGTGCTCCTCAGCCCTGGCCCGAACCTTAAAACCTTTCAGCTATTTAGGGCGTTTTGCACAGGGAGTGGGTTCCGAAATGTCCACGAGCATATTTGCATGAGTGTGGTACATTTAGTAAACATATATTTATAAGATATCCAAGTGACATGGGCAATGTAGGAAAAGATACCGAAACCTGCCAACACGCTGCTCCCTTAACTGATGATAGATCTGCTTCTGTACGCGCGTAGTACTTGCAGGGGCCTAAATAATTACCTATACTCTTTGGGGGTTCCTTATTATAAATATAGCATAATGAGCCCCAAAACCCTATTCTAATTATTAAGGCTCCTATATTACTTGCAGGCTGGGGCGGTTCTGGACTCTCGGTCTTTCTGCTTGAATGCGTGGAGAATATCACCATCCTCTCGTCATCAACATCATTTTTCACCATCATCATCATCATCACCATCACCATCATCATCTACAGCATTCACCAGCGTCATCATCATAATCATTTACCACGTTCATAATCATCATCGCCAGCATGAAGCCATATAGTCATGTTTGTTTTTTTTTTGTCCGGGTCGTCATCATCTCCAGCATCAGCTGCGTCATCAATGTCGCAAATGGTATGATACGCGTCCTGGTGTGTGCGGGTTTGCTAGATACCTCTTGGTGACTAACTAGTTGAAGTGAACCATCTCAGCCTCGACAAATTACGAAGCAGCTCGTATTTGGGTCAGCCACTGCACTTTAAAACACAACCAGCCCTTTGTAGAACACCCTAAACCCAGGAAAAATAGATCACTTTCAATGTCTTGGGGCCTATAACACAATCCTGCTATAAGTAAATTAGCCCCTTTGGGGCATAAGGCATACTTTGTGGGCAAGACTGGCACCTGATCGCATCACCAGGGCGCCGAGTTCATGGGACCTGGCTGGTACTGCAGCGATGCCTTGGATGTGCGCAAGGATGCCTACTTCGCCGTGGCCTCAACGAGGGCCTTAACCCCCAGCCCGAAACACCTACGAACCCCGTAACCCTCAGCGGCTAACCTCGCTAAACCCCAAACCACGCAACCCTGAAGAATGAAGCCGTGTGAGGCTGTGGTTCGGAGAGCGAGCATTCTTTGCAGGGCTTTGGGTTTGGGGTTTACTTTGCTTTGACTTGCGATTGGTTTCCATTACCTACGTTGTATACCCTACAACTAACTACTATTTCTTTGGTGGGTTATACCGTGTAGTTAGTTTGGTGAGTTATACCGTATACTTAGAGGTTAGGACCTGATGCCTGCTAGGGTTTGCGGGCTCCAGGTAGATTGATGTTGACGGAGATCAGACGTTATACCGGTCACAGAGTTGCTATGAGAGTCGGAATAGGAAAAAGCAGGGCGAACGGGGAGGGAACAGGGGGGAGAGGTAATTAGAGGAAATCCGAATAGGAACCTCTGACCGCTTCGGCCGGGGCCGAGGCGATTTCTAAGGGTCCCCTTACTGTAATTAACTAGAGTATCAAATGCCCTTTTTCTAACTTTTAAGATCCTCATATTAGGCAGCTGGTGGCTGGTGTGGCTGCCGCCCACAGAAACAACTCTGGGACAGAGAGCATCGCAAGTCAGAGCAACATGTTGGCTCCTGTTGCCCAGTGATCTATGTAGGCATGGGCTCGTGCCCCTAAGCCCTAGACCCTAACCCCTAAACCCTAAACCCTGATGATGTACCAGATGTCAGCGAGACAGAGCAGGTAGATTGATATGTCTTGAGCAATTTGCTCGACATTATGTGCACGCTCTTCGGAGCGAGTCTTCTGACCTCATGCGGGAGAAAGGGGGCTACTGCATTAAAAAAACCCTAAACCCTAAACCCCGATCCTATAGACCTGAAACTTGAAAACCCCTCAACCCCCAAACCCTAAACGACTATACCGGAAACCAAGGACAAGTGCCACATCGTCTCCCCGTGCTACTTCGGCGCAGTGTGGACGGGAAAGCGCTGGGAGCTACTTGGCAGCAGGGGCAGTCCTTGGCCCAAAAGACCTCAAGAAGGGGTTGAAGGTGGCAGGGTTTAGGGTATAGGGTTTCGGTTTAGGGCTTGGGCTTTAGGGTTTAGGGTTTGGGGTCCAGGGTTGAGCATTTGAGTTTGGGAGTTTGGGATTTTGGTTTTAGGGTTTGGAGAGCTACCCGATCCATCCCAACCCTGGGTGCGCTGCCTGTGTCCAAGACGACGAGACAGGTGTGGAGTCGAGGACCAGAAGAACGTGACCAAGAAGTACAAGGAGCTGGCATCCCGAAAGCCACCAACCTCAAACAGGGGGTTCAGGGTTTGGGGGTTTAAGGTCTTGGCGGTTCAGGGTTTAAGTTTACGGTTTGTGACAAAGTTCGGCAGGGTGGAAAGGGTCCTCACTCTCCAAAAAGCTGCGAAGCCGCGATCTCCCTGTTCCAAATCTTCACTCTAGAAGAGGTCCGAAGGACCCAATAGGTGTTCGGGTTAAGGGGTTTGGGTTTAGGGATGCGTGCTTAGGGTAATTCTAGGGCTTAGGGTTTAAGGTTTGGGTTTGAATTTGAAGGTTGGTAGATTGGGGAGTATATGATTGTTTTTAAGTACTTGGACCCTTAGGGCCACAGCTTGAAACCCAATTAGCCCTGACCCGAATACTGAGCTTGCTGATCTAACCACAGATGCCGCAAGCCCTGAACCTCAGGCTAGCCTCCCCAATAGTAGTTGTGCCTTCGCAAACAGTATAGGGTGTTGGGGTATACTATACTCTCAGCACAGTACGCAGAACATTGGTAGCTATTTAGGCTTCTATCTGTTTGCTCTCTACACGTGAAGCCTACCTTCACCCCTAGATAACCCACCTGTTCAAGGACTGGGAAAGGAAATCATCATAAGGAGCCCTAAGAATCTAGGTTTCCTAGGGCCCAAAAGCTCGAACCTGAAGACCTAAGGGTCCATGTATTCACATAGCATATACATGGGCCCTAAAGTACCTATATAGGGACTACATTAAGGCCAATGTACATACTATATGAGCACATGGGTGGTTGTCAAAATTATAGTCACTTTTGGGGTCCTTATTATAATACGGCACCTATTATTTAGGGTACCCCAAAAGGGACCATAATTTTGACAACTACCCACATGGACCCTAGGGACCACAGGACTTGATGCACATTCTCATCCATGGGCCGAAGCGTGGGGACAAGATCTGGGCTGTCAAGGCTGAGCGGTTTTGGGGTTTGAGGGTAGGGTTTAGGGTTTAGGGTTTTGGGTTTAGGGTTTAGGGTTTTGGGTCTAGGGTTTAGGGTTTAGGGTTTAGGGTTTAGGGTTTAGCCTTATATACGGATAAGAATTCGAATGGGGATGAACGGGGTTGGGGTGTAGATTTTGATATGGTGATACCGGAGCTACCACGGGATAGTATCAGCGTTATTGTATTGTTTTGGTTTCATCACTAGACCGTAAACCCCATACCCTAAACCCTAAAGTCTAGGGTTTCAGACTTTGGCTGCGGAGCTTTACTTCTGGGGCAGAGCCCTTGGAATTAGGGCTTTGGTTTAGGACGTCGGCTACAGAATTTAGAGAGTTCCAGGCTATGGGCGTAGCGTTTACATATTTGGGCTCAGGATCTGTTCTTTACGGGGCGTTTCAAAGCGTAGGAGAGCCCGCATAGGTAGGACTACAGGTAGAGTTCCCCCTACATACTGACACCTTACCTGGCCCTACAGTGTGGTTCTGTAGCGGGGGGGCTTTGGGGGCAGTGGGGATGCGCAGCGAACAAAGCGTGGCCTGAGATTCACGGCCCATGTTCCCTAAACCCTGAACCCTTTAGCTACCTTGGCGCACCGGAGAATCGTTTGGGGGAAGTTGGGATTCGGGATATGGTGCGCAGCTGAGGTTCTTCATTTGACTACTGAAGATTGTTTCAGCTAGGCATAGGATTCGTATTTAGGACTGTTGGGGCCCAAAGACCTATGCAAGGCTGCTGGCCGATTTTGAGTCGTAGGGTTCCACTTTCACGCAAAAAAGATCCTGACCAATCCTGCCTACAACCAGGCCTTTCAGATGACAGGATGTAGATTCGATTGAATGACGCCTGCAGGAGTTGGATCAGGAGCTCCCACTGATGCCAACCAGCTGTCCTCACCGTGGTTGGCAGGCTTTTCGGCCTACAGGGCCTGTGCGGTGGGTTTAGGCCTTGGGCTTGGAGTTTAAGGTTTAGGGTGTACCTTAAGAACCCCAAACCCATTTTTTTGTAGGTTCTTATTACAAACCCTAATATGGGATTTATAGGGACCCTACCAAAAGTAGGTTTTGGGTTCTGAAGGTAGAGGATCAAGTTACGGTTCCTTAAAGCATTTTACGCTTGTCGAGAAAACGTAAAATAGGCGGACCCCATGCATCAGGAGTGCCCAAAGTGTTTATGGGTTGGTTTCCTACTCCTTACCAAAAGCTAAGGCACCGTTTGCATATGTATACGCATGCATCATCGTACATACATGCATACACACATACATACATGAACACATGAACACATTAATACATACATGCTTAATTACATACATACTCACATACATACATACATACATACATATACATACATACATGAGCACATGAACACATGAATACATACATGCATACATACATAGACATAGACATAGACATAGACATAGACATAGACATAGACATAGACATAGACATAGACATAGACATAGACATAGACATAGACATAGACATAGACATAGACGTAGACGTAGACGTAGACGTAGACGTAGACGTAGACGTAGACGTAGACGTAGACGTAGACATAGACATAGACATAGACATAGACATAGACATAGACATAGACATAGACATAGACATACACACAGACATACACATACACACACACACACATACACATACACTTACACATACA